GCTTATAAGCTCCGTTTGTAAATCGTTCCGCAGATAGCGAAAGCAGACGAGTTCAGCGTCTCAAGACGCGCATTCTGGTGTGTATCTCTTTGGAAACGGCCCGATCAACCTGCTGGCCTTTCCCTGCCGGGGCAATTGTATGACAGTAGCCAAATTTGCTTGTGAACAAAGCTCAACGAAGCTTTCATCTGTGGCAACAGAACGTTAAGAAATGCTTTATTTCTCAGAGTGTAGTTATTTGCAAGAAATTCTAACATAAATAAAAGAATCCATCATGACTGCTGAAAAGATCTTGAAAGTATTTCAGCCTGCATCCTTCACATCCTTTCGATACCGCTCGGCTTCCTCGTGAGAACAGAAACTGCCTTCGCTCAAAAATGCAAACACATCCATGGGAAGAAGCGTCAAGTACAACAAAAGCCCATAAATATCAAGAATCCGTACATTTATACAGACAAAATACGTAACTCATCAAAAATGCACCATATGTGGTGTTAAAACATCCTCAATTCAATATTAGGTGGCAGGTTTATCGACCATAATGTGATCTTGACTGCTCAGACTCCTTCTTGGTCAGAACCTCCTTCAAAATGAACTCCGCTTCCCGGAGGACTCGTGGGCCCTCGTTTCTGCGAGCCCCAAACCCCACTGTAAGCCGCTGCCGAGCTTTTCGAATCCGCGGAGTCGTTACTTGGTCTGACACCGGCAGCACGCATTCCTGTGCCAGCAGCTTTAAATAGCGAGCTCTGGTCTACCAGTCCCTAACTGTTCTCCCAGTTTGCGATAATATCGTATTGAGACGTCAATCGGGAAGCGATATCGCCGCTCAACTGACAGAACTCAGCCCGCTATCACTCAGGGATTTGCTTATCAGCTGTTTCAAAATCAGATCAGTACATTTTCTGGTTTGTTGTGTTTTTCGATAACGCTGCAGCGAATGTTATCGAAAGGATCGGATGAATTGCGGGCAAATCACAGAATCGCCAACGGGGCTTGAACAAGATCCAAGCTTGGCGATCAGGGTGCGCTATCCACCACACCATAGATATACAAATAACCACCTCCTACAGCATTCAATGAAATATTTGCCATGGATATGAACCGCTACAATGCAATAAATCTGATGGTTGTTTTATGCGCTTTCACTCGCGAATCTACCTGCATCTCACCAGGCTAGTGTGGTCACACTCTGATTCAATTTCATAGCCGCTACGCAGACGCACGCGTCCGCTGCGCTTTCTGGATCCGTTCTCAATTTTTCTGAATTTATGGGGCTTTCCCCGAAATTACAAAAAATATGAGAACGTGATATATTTCTGCGTAAGGAATGTGACAGACGGGAAGACTGTGTCTGATCGGAAGGTACTGCAATAACTTGTGTCATTCATTGCAGGGAGTCGTGTGATATCGCTTTTTTCCGTGGTTATAGCGCTATAAAATCGCTTCCTTATTTGAGTGCGGGCCAGGAGTGCTCAGATTCCCGCGGTCTCTCAACGTCCAGCGCTGAACTGAGCCGGTGTTCCATCTGCAACATCCTGTTCAATACGGCCCACTTCATTTTCCTGGGGAAACCTGGGGAACCTCAGTAGGGTGCAGCTTAGTGGGTTTGGATCTCGCTAAACTCTCCGACTTCGCGCATTCGGTTTCCGAGAATCACGTCTTAGTGACCTGAGCTGTGCTCAGTTTTGGGGCTCTGCAGTTCAGCACAAATGCGGCTAGCCTTACCACCAATCTAGCAGTTATGCCTCCTCGCTACCGTGTGCCCCCTAGAAACTCGCCCGCTTATGACCTATGCAATCTCTTGAATCGATCATGTAAAATGTTGAAGGCTCCTTATGAGTGTAATCCAAAATTGGTTACTTTTGAATTTGCAACGAATCGCTTTTAACGTATTGAACTCAACTTCATAACTAACTATAAGTTCTAAGTCACAACTTGACTATAAATCCAGAATACCAAGGTTTATTATACTCGGTCAGTTTGCATTAATCTGACGGAAGACTCAATTTTTTTTTCTTGCTGGCTTTTTTGCACGATTCGTCTTTTCAGTTAAGCATAAATAGAATATGCATACTTAGGTCACAGCGCGTCAGTTCGCATGTTTACTGCGCGGCGTGCGCGGTACCCTGGCGCGGTATGAGCGGCATCCCTCGCTCTCTGATGCCCTCTTCAAGACCCCTGCTATTTCGCGCATCTGTTCCTTGGCTTGCATTGAGACAACTATCCAAAGAATCGTCGAGCAATCTCTCGACACCCGGCACAGCACAATTTTGTAACATAACCACACCACTGCTGGGCCAAGTAAATTATCACGACAGACGAACAAACTTAAAGCGATTTCGTCAAGGCTGAGGAATTTCAGCTCTTCTGAAGAAGCATCTGATAGCATTTGTGAACTTAACGCCCTTTGTGCTCTAGTGAAGAGCTATGCTATCCGCTTCCAGACAAATATCCAAGATGCTTTCGCTGCTCGTCGTCTCCCTTGTGGTATCTGCCGGTGCTGCCCCGAAGTACTCGGACTCGATGGCGAGAAACTTCATGCTTCCACTCAGCGCTGCCGCCTACTCGGACGACCCGCAGCAATGTCTTACTCGACTGTTCCCTAATGCAACAGTGAGCGCTGAATCTTTTCGACTTCTGTTAGGCAGCTGGTCCGAAATTTAAAATAGCTCATGTTCAGGTTTACCGTCAACGCACTGTTCAGTGCGATGCGTTCAAAAAGGACACCTGCTCCGGGTTCACTGCCGTCCTCCACCCTCAGAAGGCGATTGTAATGAGTTTCAGGTCTGCTTCTAGTTCCCACTCGTTCCATCACTTTCAATTCGCAAAAGCTTTTCGATATACAGAGGTACAACGCGTTTTCTTCAACTGCTACAAGAAATTACCAAGACGGTTTTCGTCAATCTGGTGAGTCCTTCAGGTTCATGGAGCTCCTTTCGGAGGCCGATCCAACGTCCAATTTGCCATTTATAGGCGTCGTGGCTTTTCGGAGGCAGAATTTCTTCGTACTTCAGTGATGCTTTCAGCAAAATATGGAGCGCTGGTATGAATGTACGGACTTCTTTGAATTGAGGAGCTCGTACCCCGACTACGAAATTTGGGTGAGCGTTCACTTGAAGTGATGTCAGAAAATCGTCACGATTCCGATCTGTTCAGATTACTGGCCACTCCCTGGGAGGATCCATTGCATCTCTAGCGGCTTCGTTTCTGGTTGGGTCGCGCGCTGTAAACTCGAGCCAAGTCAAGCTGATCACTTTCGGACAGCCCAGGACCGGGGATATCCACTTCTCTACAACTCACGATGATCAGGTACGCACTGAAAGCAGTCAAAAGAGGGAAAGGAGCTGAGAATTGGATTTGCTTTGTGCGAGGCTACAGTAGAAATGGTGTTGTGGATGGTGAACGGCGTGTGAGGGGAGTAGTCCGAGGGAGGATGTGAGGCAGATTGCGTTCTTCCCAGCGTTACTTCCTTTCCTGGGCTTTCCTTAGTCCTAGTATCATCTAACAACATAGGCCCAATTCTGAATGTTCCCCCCCCCCTCAACGATATGAGGACCCCTGAATTCCTGTTGGAGCCCATTCCAGGGTCAGTCCTATCGTTGTTACTTTTCGAAAATCATTTTACGAGCTCCCTCACCCAAGGTGGGACTTGGATGAAACCCTCTTCTTTTCGACCCTCGAACCACCATATTCCTCTCTATAGTATTTCGCAAGCCCACTCGTCCTTTCAAGCGACTAAAGTGGGTACGACCCCCCTCCTACAAACTCAACAGGTACGACACAGACTAGTCGAGTAATCGGAAAGCTCTAACTCACAAAGGATGGAGTGTTGACTGGGGCACGGGGGGGGATCGGGTGGAGAAGTCTTTCTCTCAAAATATCCCCAAGGGAACACGTGAAAGTCTCCACGATTCCAAACGCTAGGCGCTCAGCAGTAGATCTCATTCAGACGGCACGTTCGGCCTTCTGCCCTTTTTTGAAACCGACCATTCTCGAAAAATTTTCTTTCTAGTTGGAGTACTCATTCCGCGTGACTCACTGGCGAGATATTGTCCCTCATATTCCTCTCGGGCCAATTGGAGGATACTTCCACCACCGACAAGAGGTAAGACTTTGCGGTTGTATGAGTGCAAATCGGATGCAACTGACTAAGTTTCAGGCTTTCTACAAAAACAAAATGGATCCAAGCGAGGTCACAATCTGCGAGAGTAGGGTTTTTCTCATCTAATATAAGAAAATACTGGTATTAAGAGTGTTTGTGCCACGACCCGACCAAGTCCGAAGTGCGGTGAATTTCAGAGGGCGAGGATATCCAGTGCAGCGACGGTTTGTGGTTCACCACCAGCATCTACGAGCACACTCACTACTTCGGCAAACAAGTCTCTCAATACGGAAAAAGCGGATGCGCTTGACGGGCGGCTGTTCCGTTCGAAGTTCGTTCAGCTTGTCCCGTTCTTCTCTAACCAGGAAGGTCTTTCGGGGCGTGACGAGCTTTTTGAAAACGGTCTTTTGCATGATTATGGTTCTGATTGTTCTGGTTGGTTCTAACTCCATTTTGCGCGAATTTTGGAACGTCAACTCGAAATGCAAAAATTTGTCACCACGAGGAATCGAACTAGGGACCCCCTTTTCTGGTATTCAGAGGGCCGTTCAGGAAAAATTGAACATGGTTCTGTGGTTCCCGCATCTGCCCCTATATCATGCAAAAGACCGTTTTCAAAAAGCTTGTCACGCCCTGAAAGACCTTCCTGGTAGTAACTTCGATATTGTATGCTATACGAAGTATTCTACGGCACTGCATAAACTAACGCCTTTCTATAACA